TTTAAGTAAAAACCTAGTGTTTGCTCTCTTCTCCTTCCTCTGCCTCTTGCCTTGGCTTTCGCATTATTCTTCCTTTCCTTAATTCTCTGTTCCTAAGCACCCCAGGGGCTCCTGCCCCACTGGTTTGTGGGGAGTTTTTCGACTTTTTTTTCTCCTCAGTCCCAACACATTTTGTGCCATCTGCCTCCCATAGGGTCCAAGGTGGCTGCTGGTGCCTGGTGAGATCCATCCTCAAACTGTGTTTGACAGTAGAATTTAGCGTGGAGGTTGTCTGGGCATCTTGACTGTGAAGTTTCTGTTTGCTGTATGGAAGATTTCTTTTTGATACTACTTGTGTTTAGAAAGTTCCTGTGTTTGAAAGCAGTGGATGAACTCCAGTGGAGATGTACTTCTCTCACTCACGCAGCAATGGGAAACCACATTTTTAAGAGGTCAGTGCTTAGCAAGTCCAATTGATTGCATAATGCACAGCGGAATGGCTAAGCTGAACCTGTTTCCCTTCTATTTTTCCAGTGATTTGTCCTTTTGGGCAGCTGTCTTAGTGCCTCTGGAAAGACCTCAGCCACTCACACTGAGTGGGCAGCGGCAGGGGCGGCACCTCTGAGGCTGCAGTGTGAGTCCCCGGCATGCGGCGTTTGCACAAGTGGTCACTGGCGAGTTGCACCTAAGTGCAGCTTTCTGTCTCTTTAATAACTGTCGCCTTTTAGCAAATTGTGAGTTTCTGGATGCAAAGACTTGCCTTTCTTCCTTGTTTGTTCCCGGGAGGGAACTGATGAGCTGAGAGAAAATGAGACTGAGCCAGACTACTAGCTAATCTTAGGAAATCCTTACGCTTTGTTTGTATGTTTATGGATTATTACTTTTTCCTCTCCCTCCATGAAATGAGTAACATCCTGATTGAGGCCAGACTTTGAATCTGTAGCAGTTGGTGTGTCATGCTAGGCAGTATCACAGTACCTTTTTAATCAGAGGAGATTTCATACCCTGTGCCTTAGCACTTCATAGCCTGAAAATACAAGCTGTGGGGCTCTGATAACAGAAGTAGTAACTGGCTACTGTCAGCATGAGGATGATTAAAAATGAGTGTGTGAGTGAGCTTGTTCACTCCCTATCCAGCTGAATAGAAAATGAAACTCTCCAAAGCCTTTTATGTAAGTGTGTGGGTTGGGTTTTTTTCCTATGTAAATCTCTGTGTGGCTGTGCACAGACAAACTTCATCCCCAGCTTCCTTTTGAAGATGTTTTGTAAAGAAAAGACTATACTTGTTTTGACCTTTGAAGCGTGATCCTGTCTTCAGTTCAATACTACATGTACCCTCTCTGCAAAAGATAATAGCTGGCAATTTCTTTTTGAGGGGAAGGTGGTTTCCAGTCGGTTTCTCCCATCTGTGATTTTCTTTTTCTTCATAAAACAATGGCAATCTGCTTCTTCCAGCAGCTGAAATGCTGTGATTCTTTGACAGCAAATGTGTGGAGTGCTGCCTTGCACCTTGTAACACCCTGCTTTATTTAAGACACTGTCATGCTGGGCTGACTGCTGTCTTCCCTGTAGTGTTGCACCAAGGAATTATTAATCAGATGCAGCCTGGTCTGCAAAACACACGTTCACTATTAAAAACAACGTTTGTGCCCTTAGCTATTGCTAATGACTCAAACATCTCTGAGAAACCTGGGGTGAAGTAGATGCTCTGTACGTGGATAGAGTCCTTTTAAAGTATCAGTACGATACAGCACAGCATCAGATACTAAATCTCCATATGAGTATCAGATTTGAGGATTGGTGCTTTAGGCAGAAGTTTAAAGTCATCTTTTTCAGAAGATAGAAGTTCCTGGTAAGGATGGGCACAGAGAGGGAAATATACCATGGGCTCTTGTCCAAGTCCTTCAGATTTTTACTATGTTGTTATGAGTGCTCCTTGGAATATTTGGACAAAAGCCTGGAGGTTGGTGCTGGACTGAGATGTATGTGCTAACTTGATTAACTTGAAAATGACTTTGGCCTGAAAAATCATCAGTGTAATTCTGGCTTTATGCTAGAGGAGGCAGAGACAGAACAAGGAACTCAATTATATTATTTCAAGGTCCACTAGTTTATTAAACCAGGCTAAAACCAGTATGTTTTAATTAACGGAAAGTTTGGAAAAACAGATTTTGTGCTATTGTAAAGTAGCCATTGTATTTTTGCAAGTTACAAGATACGTGCCCTTAGGTTCACCTCACTCATTACTGCTGTTCCTCCTGCTTCAATGCAAGCATAACAGCTGCTGTCTTGGGAACCACTTAAGGTGTACACACTTGCTTGATACTGCTCCAGAACTCTGAATGCCAGAGCTTAAATAATACAACAACCTCAGCTGTAACTCTGGCAACCTTTAAGGGAAAAGTTCTTAAAATTGTTGCAATTGATTTTCTGGGTGCATAGAAATACAGGAAGCAAGATAGCAATTGAAGTGGTGCTTTTATTTAAAACTGCTGTCACTTGGGTAGATGCACTTTCTTTTCACCAGTAACTATTTTCAACTATTAGAAATATGAGACCATGAGTTTTACAGAAGCCCAATCCTTTCAAGTAGATAAAATTATTCTTGTGCAGCTCAGTGGAAGCATGTCTGTGTTTTGGTAAGGAAGGTCCCATGATCATGAGTAGCTGCTGGCTGTCACGTCTGTGATCCCAGTCTGTTTTCCAAGCCTGAATGCTGGCTTGAATGGAGAAGCAAAAATCTTTGCTTCCCTATGGCAGGGGTGGGAAAGCATCTCTGTGTGAGGTTATGTCTTTTGAAGACCAAGATCATCAGGGAGGTACGTTGAAAACTCATTGCACAAATAAAGATCGAGTCAGCCAACGCCTGCTTATCACGTCAAGTAGTGATTACACCGTGACGTAAATCACTGGGTGCTATAAATAGGGTTGCCTGTGACTGCACTTTAGAAATGTGTGTGAGTTCAAATGTAGTTTCTTTCTTCCCTGAGAGCAGTAGTAATGCTGTGGGCCTAGAGCTTCAGCTGCAGCGTACGTGGTGAGTGTCCTGCAGTTTGGGTTAGGCTGTTTTGCTTTCTGCTTTAAACCCCCCTCAGTTGTAATCTTTATCTGTAACTAGAATTTTCTCAGAAATTTCTCAAAACTTTTTTTTTATTGATCATGTTTTTGTATTCATAAAGCTTTTTCTTTATGCATCCTTTTGTGTCAGCTGTATTAAATCAAGGTGATTGGCTAATACAATTATTGAAGAATCAGGTAGATGAACCTCCTGCCTTAGTTCAGCACAGGTGCTGGTTGTTGTTGAGGTGCTGAAACACCAAACCCCTCAAGCCTGTAAGTCAGGAATGGTCAGCTATCAATGAATACTTTGAAATGTTACAAAAATATTAGCTTAAGCAGTTGATTTGAACAAATCAAAACACTTTTGTTAGCATATGTTTTGCTTGGCTCCATGGAATTGCTGAAGCTAGTTCAGTATTTCTGAATGCTTTATCACAGCAGAATAGAACATAATTCCTGATGGGAGTGAGATTTAACCTCCTCTTAACTGCTCCAATTACCTTTATTTTGCATTTTAAAAAATATTCCTAAGAACTCTTATGTGTGTGGTTATTTTTGTTCTTTTTTTTTTTCTTCTTCTTCTGATCCTGTGTTTCAAAACACGTTTACTCTCTCTTTTACATCCTAAAGGTAGGGAAGGCTTTCTCCCATTAAGACATTCAAGACCTGGCTGTTCATGGGGGGGATTTGCTTTTGGAGAAATAGGGAAACGTGGGCATTGCATATGCTATCCTTGCCTGTGGTGCAGGTGCTGCCTCCCGTGTGCCCTGCTGCAGGTGAAGGATTGTTATCACAAGTGAGAGACCCGCTGCTTGCAGGGTGTTGACAACTTGTCATTACAGTGTTTCATCTCCTGCTTTGTGGCTGAAAAGGTTTAGAAACAATCATAATCTCTTTCCTGCGGTGACTTGGGGAAAGGTTTTGGTTTGTTCCTTATAGGCTCAGGGAGAGAAGAGATACTCCACTTTTCGTTTCTGCTGAGTTAACAGTTATTTTTACCTTCTAGGTCAGACTTTCTTAACCTATCCAGAGCCATTAAGCTCCCGGGGAGGGAAAGTGGATGTGAAGAACAGGAGCAGCAGGAGGGGGGTTGAGGAGAAGGAAGAAATGGTAGTTAAACAGGTTTGGGTTTTGCTCACAGGTGTGGTGTTTACTTTCCAGCAGCTATTTCTAGTACATAGGGAAGGTGAGGTGTTGGTAGGTATGTGTAAGCGTGTGACATTTGCCCAGCCATGTGGCAAGGTGAGGTTGCATATGGGCTGGTTCTTCCCATCCCTTGTAACAGGGGCTGTAAAAAAGATGTTTTTGTTTAATGTGTAACCCTGTCCGTTCTCTGCATTGGGCGTGCATGCTGAGCTGATGAAAATTAAATTAGCAATGAGATCCAATTACATCAAAACAAAAGCAAGCAAGCAAGCCCCCCATGGGGCGCAGGCAGGGAAGCACCCTTCATCCTTGCTCCCTGAGGAAGGCAGCTCTCAGGGCTGGTGCCTGCCCATGTTTTGAGAGGTTCCTGTGGCAATGAGCAGCCTTCATGGAGGGCCTGAGGGTGAGCGTGCGCCTGACTTACTTATCCTGTGTGAAACAAGCTGCTCGTCACGCGGCACCAGAGCATGTGTTCAGGCAGCGGTCCTCCTGCTCCCCAGGATGAGTCAAGAAACAAAGCTGTTGTTGTAGAGCTAGGCGTTGACATGATCTTCACCCAGTGCTCATATCCAGTGCATTGTGTTACTTCCATTACTAGCAGGGGCTGGGTGATGGCAGGGAGGTGTGCATGGACGTGGACAGGGAGTTGCAGGCCAGCTGAGACGCCCTGCTTGCGCAAGCTGGTGATACCAAGCTTCATTACCTGGGCATGAGGAAGGCTAGCAGGGATGGGAGTATGCTAACAAGGGTGCTCTGCAGAAGGAAAGAGGGAAATGCTATTTATCTGAATGGTGGTTTTATTTTTTTTCCCCTAGTGTTGCAAAGATTACATTTTCTGTACTGAGAGAGAAAAAGAACTAGGAATTGCCTGCATGTAAGTATTGTTTCTTCTTAACTTCCTTTTATCAATAAATACTAAAACCAAATATGAAATTCACTGCAGTTCAAAATATATAATTATTTTTCATTAGTATATAAATCTAAGCTAACTGCATTCTAATACAAAAGTGCAAATTAGAATACATGTAGGAGTATTTTACGTGAGGTGTGTGTACTTTCAATTTGTGTGTGTACTTCAATTTCAGTGAAGTCTCACTGTTACAAGTATAGTTTGAGGGTACAGTTATTTGAAAGTGTTATGAATATTACTTGTAGGTAAAGAAATGCCTTCAAGAAGGTCCTGGAAATTTTGGTTGATTTCAAGTTCTGATCAAGTTTTGATTGATTTCAAGCATTGCTGCTAGGCTGAAAATAACAAGCATTTTTTTTTTTCACCCAAATACATTCCTGCTTCTCTGACCTATACATTTTCCCCCACTAGAAAACCCAGTGGAGCTGATAGGAATGAATTCCCACCTGAGGCAGCTCTCGGAGAATTTCCTTCCCTGTGCATTGCCTGTGTTCCCAAAGTTGGCAAAGTTGCGCTGTACATAATTTCTAGGAAGCGCTTAAGAAAAACTGAGTCACTGGGGATGATCCGGAGGCCATGACAAACACAGTGAAGTTAAAGTATCTAATTGTGCTGCATATTTCCTGAATTAAAAGAAAAAAAAAAAAAAGTGAAGTGTGAATTATTCAGTTCTGTGTCAGCTCCCCATCTCTTTAATAGGAAGAATCATGCTTGGTGGTTTCACCTGTGAGGCTAAATGCTATGAAGGTTGTCTTGTATCTTGACTGAAGCAGTAGCAGAGGATCACAGATGAAGATGAAGACTTTGCAAAAACAGTAAGGCCTCTCCTAGTACTCAAAGCAGAGCCGAGGAAGGCAGAGCATATGGCCCCATGCAGACCCGACAGGACTTCATGCTAGTTGAGAGCACCTGGGGAGGTGACCTCCTCTCCCTCCTGCAGTGTTTTGAAGCTTGTCATCTTCAGGCTTCCACCAGCACAATTTAAACACACTGTCAGCTCCTTTCAGTGGCTCACTTAGTTAAAAACTTCCCTCAGTGAGGAGATATTTAATTATATCTTCTAATACATTATTTGAGATTCTCACCTGGCATTCTGAGAATCTGGAGAATGCCACTAATAGAGTGGAGCCAGCATTCACAGGAATACATTAATAGCAGTACCATGTTCATGTTTTCTTACCAACTGATGTATTCTCCAAGGCTAATGCTGCACCTCCCCTACTTCTTTGAATTCATTTGTTCCATTTCAGTTCATTCTTTTGAAATACTTTGTGATGAATGGGTTCACTTTACAAGCCTGTGATCAGCAGCAGCTGTTCATAGTCATGGTTTAAATTGAATCCATCTGTCAGTGGGCTCTTTAAAGTGTGAATTTCACATTATCAGGAGACCTGGTAACAACAGGGCAGTATCTAGGTGTTGTTTGCCAAAAAGGAGGGGGATTGAGGGAGAGAAAGTGAAGTGTCCTGGGATGGGCTCTGGGATACCCTTTCAGTTTCTATTTTCTGTTGTGCTATGCTGAAGCCTGGGGAGAGGAGAGCTAAGTGGCTGCAAGTAGTATTTTTGTGCTGACGTACGGATAGGTGTTCAGAAGTAGGTTGTATAAACTAATAGGGAGATGAACCATGGTTAGCTTTCTAGAAACCATATGCAGTGCTGCTGGCTGCTTTTTTTTTTTTTTTTTTTTTTTTGTCCTGACACTTTGATGAACTTCTATCGCCAGCTCTTCCTTACTTGTTTGTAGCATTGGGGTAGGTCAGTGTTCTTCAGAGGGATCACAGAATTTCTAGGTTGGAAGAGACCTCGAGATCATCGAGTCCAACCTCTGACGTAACACTAACAGTCCTCCACTAAACCATATCCCTAAGCTCTACATCTAAATGTCTTTTAAAGACCTCCAGGGATGGTGACTCCACCACTTTCCTGGGCAGTCCGTTCCAATGTCTAACAACCCTTTCGGATGAGCTAAAGAGATGTGGCTTATTCAAATCAGCAAAAGGAGTCAATGCTTCCTTTTTTGCCTCAGCACATGTGCATCATTTCTTAGTTTTGTTTGTACCTAGAGGAGGGGGGAGTGTATCTGCTAAGGCTGCGTTGCACAATGCATTTATGGCAATGTTTGAAAACAACAAATGGCCACTCACTGTCTGCATTCATTGTTCTCCTAACTTAATGCAAGGGCTTTGGTGCTTAATAAAGGTCTTAGTAAGTTGCATAGTGGGTATGAAACCCAGCTGATTCTTGGACTGCAGCCTTCTGGTCTTACCTGCAGGTAGCTTCTGATGTTTTCCTTCTCTCCAGTTTCTTCCTCATCAAGACTATAGTGGGAGGACTGTACTTGTGCTGGGGTATGTGCATAGATCTGTGGAAAAGCATTTCTTACCAACCGAATTTTACTCACCACAAAATACTAAATTTTTAGCAAAGCATGTAATTTTTATCATATCGTTTCATTTTAGAAGGGACAGCCTTCTTTGCAGGGTCAAAACAGCACAGCCTCTTCTGCTACTGAAAAATCTCCTATTTCATAATAGAAGGATCGTATGTTATTTCTAGTCTCAGGGCTCTGGCTGGTCTCTAGCTGCAAAGGGTACCTTTTATCAGTCAGGTAAATGTTGTCTGCGGACAGTCCCACACTTATGGGAGGCTTCACGCAGTGGTTTAAGTCCACACATGTTTCTTCAGCAGCTCAGGAGGCTCTGGTACAAGCTTCTTGTTCTCTGTTTTACCATTGTGGTCTCTGAGCATCACTGGACAACAGCACAGCTGCCTCACCACTGCATCCTTAGCATAAGTGCCAAATCAGCACTTTAATTAACACTAAATTCAATTCTGGCAGAAGTACAGAGAAGGGATAAAACAAAACATTGAAACAAAAAAACACCCAGATTGGCTTTGTAAGCTTGCAATTGTCACTTGATGCTAGCACAGTATCTTTGAAATGAAGTGCCTATTCTTGTGTGAACAGAGAAGAATGTTGTAGTTTTTCTTCAATATATAGAAAATAGTACTGTATATACCAGAACCCGTTATTGCTGTGCACCTGATAAATACAGATGATTTTTTTTTTTTTAATAGCAATTCATTAATGTGTTCCACATGGAGATGGTGCGAATTGCACATTGAGTGAAGAGATTGATTGATGTTGGCTTATGTTAAGAAAATATGGCTGGCAGAAGGAGTCAATACATGCTCTTTTTTTCCCCTTGAAGTGTATTGTTTTTCCTGCATGTGTTTAATCAGAGACCTTAGCTGGGGAATGTAATTGCTTTAGAGCTGACAATACCTTGTTATCTTCTTTTATAATCCTTAGTAGTGTTAAAATATGGTTATTAAGATCTGGTACTCATTTGAATGCCTGCTTCGACTTTGGATTATAAACACGCAGTATCTGTAAATTAGCTGCAGGCAAAGAGCAAGCATTCAGTCCTTCGTCATTTAATCTAGTAAAGGCTAAAAGTTGTGCACCACTCAGCAAGTGAAAAACCTTTATCTGCAAGCCCTTGGACAAATAGGTGTCCTTCCACATAGCTGTTGAGCGGAAGTAGCTCAGAAAAGCCTTCATAACCAAATGGCTGGGGCTGGCTAAGGAGTGCAGCAGTGCTGTCGTGGAGTGTGCTGGCTTCTGATTTGAGTTTTTCGAACTTCACAAGTTGGGCCTGAACAGAGGGAATTGGCAGGAGAGCAGAGGGGAAAACTTCCCCTTCCTGCTTGCAAATGTGGGAGCGAACATGAGGAGCATTGAAAGGCATTGGCAGGGTATGCCAGGCCCACAGAGTTGGAGAGGTAGCAGAGCTGTGTAAGGAATGAAATGCTCAATATCTTTTCTAGACTGTACTGACAAATAGGATGAAGTGTCTTTCTTTTGCGTTTGTTTTAAACAGGTTCTTTTCCTCGTACTTTTGCAAATATTTCCTAAACAAACAAATAAACAACAAAAACCAACCAAACAAAAGAAACAAAAAATCCGAACAACAGTACTTCAGCACCATGATAAATTTTAAACAGAAATGCTGATCGGTCTGTTATCTTTGTGTAGTCTTGTGTTATCTGTAGTTTCTCACTTAGAACTAGATGAATAATGTGTTTCTGTTAATACCTGTGACTGACTGAATGTGTAATTTTTATGATGAATTAGTAGCATGAGCCAGCATCATTAGTGCTGAATAAAATATTCAGTTTCTTTTGCTTGGTATTGTCCACGAGGAGTTGCAAGTAATGTCCTAGTACCTGGTTTATTTTTTATCAGGTGTACAGGGCTACTTTATTCCTGGAAATGTGGAGCTGTGAACAGGGTAAGGTTCAGTGTGAACTTACGAGTTCTGTAACCTCTGTTAATTGCTGCAATACTTGATGAAGGTTCAAAACTGTAATGGCTGATCCAATAAAGATGTGATAGATAGCAAAATGTTGAAATTGCTAGAAACCCACTTGTCAAGTAGTACAGTCTTAGTAGATAAAACAATGAAGGCTTTATTACGGTGCCTCAATTTATATTGTAGATACTGCAGCAGAATCTGAAATACTTCTTGGTGCCTTCTGGAGGTGGATTTTTTTTCAATTTTATTTATTTTGAAACTCTAGATGAAAGATCAGTTGACAAATAGAAGATGTAAAACTCAGAGTATTTGCTATAATTGTTTTTGCTATATTTGCTATAATTGTTGCCAGTTTCTTTACCTACAGGATTTCTGTTTAATGCAGCCTAGGCTATAAATGAATTTCCTAGGAGAGTTAACTTTATTTTTTCCTTTGACAATCCTTTTGGTGAGTGAGTTGAAATGACTTTCTGTAAGTCATGCAGAGCTTCTTAGTGCTTTGTACTGAGTTTGGGAAGATTTCTTTAGAGGGAAAAGTTTTTAAAAGCTGCTTTCTGATATTTATTCACAGTTTTTTCCCTGAAAGCTCCGTACAGTGCCCTGTGTAACCAAATAGCATTCAGTCATCTAGTGTTAAATACAGGA